TAACGGATACTTGTAAAGATTGGTATGAGAAGTTACCTTTTGTCTTGCATACTTATAGAACATTAGTCTGAACATCTACAAGGGCCACTCCGTTCTTTTTGGTTTATGGGATGAAAGTTATGCTACCAATTGAAGCGAAAGTTCTTTCACTAAGAGTTCTAATGGAAGTCGAGCTAGAAGAAGCAAAATAGGTCTGAAGTCGTTACGAGCAGTTAAACCTCATTGAAGAGAAAATGCTCACAGTACTTTATCATAGTCAATTATATCAAAAAAAGATGATTAGAACGCATGATAAGAAAATTCACCTTCGTCACTTTTAAGAAAAAGACTTAGTGTTGAAAAAGATTCTTCCAAATCAAAATGATAATAGAGAAAAATAAACACAAAATTGGGAAGGTCCGTATATGGTGAAGAAAACCTTTTTCGGTGGGGCATTAATTTTGGATAGAGATTGACGAAAATGATTTGCCTAATCCAATAAACTTAGATACTGTAAAAAACACTTTGCTTAAAAAAAAGAAAAAAAGATAGAAAAAGGGGAAACATATAAGCTGAAAACCTGAAAAAGTAGCTTAAATATAAAAGAGAGATAGCATCATCAGAGAACCTTACAATATAGGGGTAAACATAGTTTGATGAGCTCTGAAGGATCAAAGAAGTCATCTGGATGAGTTTTAGAGAAAAAAATCGAGAATATTTTGTTCATGATTATCTTATAATATTACTTGGGTACCTTGGTTCCTACCCAAATACTTTTGTTGCCATGTACTTATTATCAGCTCAATGAATATGCTTTCTTTCCTTTAAGAATAATGCCTATTCATTCTTTTATCTTAATTCGTCATCTTTGTTCAACTTACGAATAAATAGGAGAAATATGTTATTGCATTTTATTTGTTTTGAAATTAAAATGATGAAAACAATAATATGGAAGGTCTCAATATTATTTTTTAAAGTCGATACAGGCATATGAAAATGATAAGAAAAGCATGACAAGACATTGATGTTATAGACTTCTGAAAAAAAATTGTTGAGAAAGAATATAATGGTCAGATGTTAAGAACAATGTAGTCCCATGGCAATTGTTGAGAAGCAAAAAGATGAGAGATTTCAATAACCTTTTACCACAATTGAAAATGAATGATTTTGATTGCATTACATGTATTACATTTAAAGCACTCAGTGCGTGCATCCGTGAGTAGTCATAACAAAGACAAGGATTTTTCCTAATGAAAAATAAGATTTTGATCTTCAGGTAAAGATAATAATCAAATAACAGATTTCAAAAGAGAGAAATTTTCTTGTTTAAAGATGAAAAATCAATTTTGAGAAAAGATGAAATTTTTAAAGTTGTAAAGACTTTGCTTAGATAAGCTTTTCCAAGATGAAGTTTTAAAGTTGTAATGCCTCTGCTTAGATGAGCTTTTTGTAAGATAAAATTTTTAAAGTTGTAAAGCCTCTACTTAGAAGAGCCTTTTCTAGGATGAAATTTTTAAAATTATAAAGCCTCTACTTAGAAGAGTTTTTCCAAAATAAAGTTTTAAAGTTGTAGTAGAGCCTCTGTTTATATGAGCTTTTTTCAAGATGAAGTTTTAAAGTCATTGAGCCTCTGTTTAGATGAGCTTTTTTAAGATAAAATTTTTAAAATCATTGAGTCTCTGCTTAGAGGAGCTTTTTTTAGATGAAATTTTTAAGTTTTAAAGTTGTCGAGTCTCTACTAAAATGTGACCTTTTAAATTTTTTTTAAAAAAATTTTGAACCTCTATTTAGATGAGCTTTTTAAATTTTCAACAAATAAAAAACAAATAAAAAAACTAAAAAGAGGATTATGCGTTCAATGTTTCCTCTTTCCAAATAAAATAGTTGTCTGTTTGTTTTTGTCTTATTCATGATTCTAAAAAATAGGTAAAGAAGGGTAACTGTAAACACCATTTTGTATTTTATTAATAATAATAATATTTTTTTTTCTTTTTTTTTCTTTTCTGATCTGTTTGACAAAAATCTGAATGCATTAAATGCACCCTCCCAAAAGTCTAAAATCTCAATTGCCGCTAGTCGTCGACAACTACCTAACACCTTGCCTAACTTGACAGGGTGGATTTTTGCCACCAAAATTTCATAGACCGGCTGAAAATCTAGGATTTGAATCTTAAAAAATCTGAGATTTGAATCCCAGAAAGCTTTATAAATAAAGCTTGTTTCCTGAAAAAAAAAAGGGGAGCGATTGAAAAAAAACTTTGCTAAAAAAAACAAATTCATAAAAAAGAAAAAAGGTTCTGCCAAATAAAAAAAAAACTTTCTAAACCCAAGTTCAAACAAGCCAAACAAACACAAACACAAAAATCACAACCTTTAGTAACGAGGATCTTAGCATCAAAAACATAAAAAAAATTATTTTAACCAAAACTTTGAGCCTTGATCTACACGTTTGAGGTCGTTTCTAGTAAAACGGAGGCTGGATTTAAGTTTAGGGAGTCAAAAGGATTTATTTGGTGGTTTTTAAGATTTTTCAATCACTGACAATGACGGCTGACGATCGATAACGACAATGACGGTAGCGAGACGATGACCTATAAACGTCATACATTTTTTTCTGAGAGAAAAAAAAGAGTTTTTTTCTGAGAAAGGAAAGAAATTAAGTAAAAAAATTTTTTTGGGGCTTTTATATAAACTGTTAAGAGCCAAAATGATGCAATTTCAATAAAGATCAAAACAACGTTGTTTTGACACAAGGAGGATCCGCGCGGCAGTCCTGACTCGACTATGGGTTCGCGCACCTGACTCGATGATCTGGCATCCCTCAACCTCTAACCGACCCAATTGAACCAGATCAGATCGAACCAAACCATTGAACCGATTGAACCTACATTGACTGGACCATTGAATGGTTCGGTTTAGGTAATTTTTAAAATTTTTTATATATTATTTTTGTTGTTTTAAACTTTATTATTAATATTTATATATATTAAAATGTTTATATTTGTTAGAATAAATTTCTGTTGAAGTAAATAAAAATAAATTATGAAATATATAATAAAATTTTTTGATAATTTTGTTAATTTTAAAATAAACCTTATAAAATAATAAAAATATAAGAAAAAGAAATTTTTATCTGATGATGAGATTCTAAACATATTTCGATTAGCTATATTTTCAAAATCTTTAGGTGAAAATTTTTTTTTAAATACTACCAGTGTATTGAAGTATTTATAAAAAGTTTTCAATACAAAAAAATTTTTCTTTTTTTTGTTATAAAATAGTAAAAAAAATAACTAATTTGTAAAAAAATAATAATAATATAAATAAGGAAAAAAAAATTTTATTCGATGACGGAATTTTAAAAGTATTTTGAGTAGTGATACTTTACGAAATCCCTAGATGAAAAGATTTTTTTAAAAATATTACTAGTGTATTAAAATATTTATAGAATATCTTCAATATTTTATAAAAATTTCTCTTTTCTTCAAAAATTTAAATTAAAAAAATCAATTAAAAAATAAAATAAAATATGTACATCAACATATTATCATTTTGCATTGCATGCACAACATAGTTTTTATGAAAAGTAAATTTGAGCATCTAAAGATGAGATTCTAAGGTATTTTGAAAAACGATACCTAAGAAATCTCTAAGTGAGAAAAGTTCTTATAATGTTACCAATGTATTAAAATATTTTAAGAATTATTTCAATAAAAAAATTTTAATTTATTTTTCCTGAATAAAAATGTAACAATAAATAATAAAGGATATTAAAAAAACAAAATTTTAATAAATAAGAAATTAAAGAAATTATTTTTCAAACACTGAAAATAAGACTATTTTTATTAAAATCAATGGATAACATATAATTAATTGGTATTGTTTTAAACGAGTACTGTAAATGTGCTAATTATTCTCTATGCGTAACCTACCTCTGGACCCAGATTGGTTCGCAGACTTTAAAATTATTTTTTTAATATATTTTAATTAATTTTAAGATTTTATTAAAAAGATATGTTCTAATATGTGACCAATTATATCTAACTAAAAAAGATTAATGGTGACTCTATTTTTTATTTTTATTTTTTTTCAAATTCATTAGACGGACACAAAACCGTTACAGCATTCATTATTCAATTTATTGGTTTGGTTGTGAAACTTTCTCTTATGTCAAGAATCTTACAATTCTAACATTGTTCAAAATGAAAAAAATAGGGGAACTAAAAACTCTTTTATCCCTAAAGTGTTTTTAGATTTTAGAAAGAAAGTGAAAATTTTACAATCTTAATAGTATAAAAAAGGTAGAAAAGAAAACAATAAAAAATATTTTTTATACTCAAGGTTTTTTAGATTCTGAAAAGAAAATGAAAGTTTTGCTTTATTTACATTTACTTAATTGTAATTTCAGACTATATAGATAATGTTATTTATCTTTAAAATGTAATAATTTTATATGTTACATTTTATTTAAGTTTTAAAATTAAATAAAAACAACATTTTTAAAATAAAAAAGCAATATTTATTGAAAATATGACAAAAATTATTTTTTTAAATTTAAGTAAAATACTGTTTTTAAGAAAAAAAATATGATATTTGTTAAAAATATGAAAAAACCATTTTTCAAAATTTTTAAATTTCAACGAAAGCAATGCTTTTAAGATTAAAAATACCATTTTTATTGAAAACATGAAAAAAAAATATATATATATTATGATAAAAATTTATTATTACATATAAAATTTATTATTATTATTATTATTATTATTATTATTATATATGTGTAATAAAATCTAAAATACTTTTAGTTAAATAATTTAAAAAATATATTAAATATACAAGTTGCATGTTAAATAAATAAATATTTAAATATTTACTTACTCACGTTTTATTAATATTACATTTTATTTATGTATCATAGAAAAAATATTATAAAATATTTTTTTAAATAATCTTACATTTCTTTAATCGTATATTTGGATATCTGCGCATGTCAATTTTAGTCACAGCCAAAGCGCCTGAGTGGTAATGCGATAGAACCCCTATCTTCCCAAAGCCCTCTGTGCTCTCTAGTGTTTCCCAAGCAGAGAAAATGGCTTCAATATCATATCTAATATCATCACCAAATCTCCCCAGTCCCATGAAACTCTCCCTCACACTCCAATCAAAAAACTTTCTCCAAATCCTCCAACCAACAACAAATCCACTTCCCAATTTGCCTAAAAAACTCATCTTGACTTCATGTCCGAAGAAATTAAGGTTGTTTGCTGTGGCAGAAGATCAAACCTCAGTGTTGGCCTCTCCTTCTGAGGCCGCCAGGAGGCTTTACATTGGCAACATTCCCAGAACTGTGAACAATGACGAGCTCACAAAGATTGTTGAAGAACATGGCGCCGTTGAAAAAGCGGAGGTGCTTCCTTTTATTTTTATTTTTTGATTGCTCCTGCCTTGAGTATTTGGCTTTGTTTGTCATAATGTTCAAATTGTTTTTCACTCCTTGCAACTGGAAATTGGAAAATGAATGTTAGGTGTTTATTCCGAAATTTATTTACAGTCTAATAACATCCTTGGAGCTTTTCAATAATTTACTGTGACTTTTGAAGTTATTTAGCTCCATCTTACTGAGTGCAGGACGGAATATATCATGATTCTTGTGGATTTTACTAATTGGAATATGATAGCCGCTGAATTACTTGTATTTGGCAGAATATAAGAAAAAATAGCATCATAAGTTCATAACCTGTAGCTTTGGCATTGAATATGTAGCTTAATAGTCAAATCCGGGACTTTGTGCGGCCTGCTGAAAACTTAACTAGCGGCATCAATGATAATATCACTTAATAATAAGAAAAAAGGGGGCAGCGAAAAGGTTTTTAAGTTTTTCTGAAAATGCTTTTGTTATGGATGTAAAATTGGGAATCTGTGCATAACCTGCATTTTATGTTTTTGTCGTAGGTGATGTATGATAAGTACTCTGGAAGGAGCCGCCGATTTGCTTTTGTTACAATGAAAACGGTGGAGGATGCAAATGCAGCAATTGAGAAAATAAATGGCACCGTAAGCCCAAACCATACTTTATTGTTCTAAAATTATGAGAAGACGAATATTGGTTTATGGTTTTCATGGTGATTTCCTTTTTTTTTTTCATCTATTGCAGAAAATTGGAGGGCGTGAGATCAAGGTAAACATCACTGAAAAACCTCTTCCACAAGTGGATTTGTCTCTCCTTCAGGCAGAGGATTCCCAATTTATTGATAGTCCGCACAAAGTTTATGTGGGAAATCTTGCAAAGACAGTAACTTCAGATACACTCAAGAAGTTCTTTTCTGAGAAAGGGAAGGTAGTCAGCGCTAAGGTTTCACGGGTCCCAGGGACCTCAAAATCTAGGGGATTTGGGTTTGTAACATTCTCTTCTGAAGAGGAAGTTGAAGCTGCTGTCTCTTCTTTTAACAATTCTGTAAGTTGTTCACTGCTTTTGCCTTGTTTCTGTGGGCCATTGGATTTATAAAATACCTTTGTTGTTCCCCGAGCAACATATGAATGGTTCGATGGATATTTTCATGTTCATGCAATCTTATTCTTGCTTCTTCTTGGTATTCCAAGTAACAGCACTATATATGGTCATGGTGATAGCTTTAGATCTTTGAAAAAGAAGCCTTCTACTTTGTGCATCCATTCTGTTGTAAAATGTTTTTTAGCTCTTTCATGTTTCCAGATGATTCCTGAATTAATAAGGAAAAGTCTTGATTTGTTGGTGATAACCACTGGCCTGGCAATTGCTATTTCCTTTTACTTTTAGCTGCTTGTTGTCTCTTGCGCCAACATTTTAGTTTCATTTGATAGTTTCAATCTGTCAAACATATTCCTCTGCTGTTGCGTTCTTGGAAATCTGTTAGGCATGCATGTTGTTCATCTAGTTCAACTTATTCTCTTTATTTTAGTTAATGCCTCTGGTTTGATACTTGTTATGTAGTCTTTAGATCATCCTTCATAACACACTATGGACTCTGGAGATGAGTTATGGCCCAAAAGACATATGTAACCGTTGGATGTTATATTCTATATGCATAAGCACGTTGATAAGTCCATGACGAGCTTCTTTAATTCTTATGATTTCTATTTGTGAGATTCAGGCGAACGGCCAATGTTAAGATGTTAGTATTACTGATATAAAATGGTTGCTTATTGCAGTTGTTGGAAGGGCAACAAGTTCGTGTAAACAAGGCATAAAATGGTTGGCAGTGGCAGCACTGTGTGGCTACTACAGGGGCTGGTCTATCTTATTCTGTATCCATTTCATTGCAAAATAGAGCAGTTCTTTGTCCTGAATGTATAATCAACTTTGTTAGTGCAATTGCTATAGTAAGTTATTTCTGCCATGAGCTTTTGTAACCATACGTGGCAGAAGGTTAGTGGTGGAAAGAGAGGATAAACACATTTCATTTCGCTCGTCCCTTTTTAACAAAATGAACTGAGTTTCTAAGAGAAAAGGACTACTGCTATATGAATCGTAATAGTATTCAATTAGTCATGACTGAGTGAAATGTATTACTGCATGATTCTTGATTTCTAAATTTCTCTCATCTCATCCTCGTGTATGTGATGCAACCCAATGCGGTAAAAACCATTAATGGTTAAGTTGGTACTTGCCATTTACTACTAATTAAATATATATATTTAAAATTTTAATTTTCCTTTAAACTTTTAATCTTTATCTACTTAATTGATCTGAAAATTAAATGCTTAAGCGCTTTTAAATCCATAATTTTTAAGATTTTACTTGATTAAGAATAATAAAAAAAATAAAAAAATACTTATTAATCTAATGATTAAAATTAATAATTAATTTTTTAAACTTTTTTACTTAACAGTTAAATTAACTGAATTTTCATCTTTGCTATCAAGGAAACCTCACCCATACGGTTGTCAATCAAACAATAAGCCTAAAAAAAAATTATTTAGTTTAGAAAGGGCTATTTGAATTTTGACTCCTTTGTCCAATGGCAACATTCGTAAATCTCAATTGAAGTGAAGTCTTTTATTATTATTATTATTATTTTATAAAAGAAAAAAAAAGAAAATTTTATTTATACCTTATTTTTCTTTATACACCTCATTACTAAATACACTTCAAATTCAAACTTAAATTTTTTATTTCTACTAAATACACCACATTCTTCATTTTTTTTATTTTCCCTTCCAACCCTTTCACTATTTCATTCTCTCTTTTTTTCTCTTCATTTTTAATAAAAAAAAAAACTTTAAATCCATCAAACTTACCTCAAATTACTTGTGGTTTTGGGTTTTACATTGATTAAAAATAAGATTTTTAGCTTGTTTTTGATTGATTTGATTGAAATTTGATTAAAATATACGTAAATATAAATTAAGATTTAGATGAAATTGAGTTTCTTAAAAATAAATTTATGAGAACCTACTTTTTTTTGAAAATAAATTTCCAATAAGTTAAAACTTCTTGAAAAATCAAAAGTTTAAAGGTTTTTCGAAAATAAATTTATGAGAAATCTTAAAGTTTCTCATAAATTCATTTTTTATAAACCTTAAAATTTCTTGAAATTCTAAAAGTTTAAAGGTTTTTTAAAAATAAAATTTCTAAAAATCCTTAAATTTTTCAAAATTAATTTTCAAAAACCTTTGAATTTTTCGAAAATATATTTTTGAGAACTATTAAAACTTTTCAAAAATTCAAAAGCTTAAAAACTTCTCAAAAATCCATTTTTGAGAAGTTTTCAAGTTTTTCAAAGATTTATTTTTGAGAAGTCCTAAATCTTTTTAAAAATCTATTTTCGATAAGTTTGATTTCAAAATTTTAGTTTTAATTTTAAAGATTTTAGGATTTAGTATATAAAAAATATAATGAAAAAGTAAGAAAAAGAAAGAAGAAACAGAAAAGAGGAAGGAGGTATGGAATATATGAGAGTACGAGAGTATTTTAGTTGTTTACTAAAAGTTAAATTTAATATTTGTTATATGAATATTTTTGAAAGAAAATTTGTGAGGTGTATATAGAATATTTTAGGGTGTATTTATAAGCTAAAAAAAATTCAGGAGAATTTGAAATTGGTGGCTAATCTCTCTCCCGTGCCTTCCTTTTTTTTTAAGCGATAAGCCCCTCCCCTCTAATTATTTAACAGTGAAATAAAGCTTTTTTTTTTTATGTATTTTCTCTTACTTGAAATCTAAATTAAAAGTGTAATTGATTAAATTTGAGTTAATATAATATTAAATTTAAGTTTAAACTCAATTTTATTATTAATTAAATTCGATTCAAATTCAATTAAATTTTATTTTTTTAATTTGAGATTGATTCAAGATAAAAATTAAAATATTTAAATTTATTATATTAGTTTAATTAATATATAAAAATAAATTTGATTTTTATATTCGATAAAAAATTTAATTATTTGTACTCAAACTTAAGTTTGAAATATTTTATTAATTAAAATATATTAAAATATAAAAATTTAATTAAATTTACAAGCTACTTGAACTAAATACAAAAATATTTAAATTTAACTCAATTAATAAATCAAGTTAATTAAATTACTCGAAATTCAAATTCAACTTGATAATAATCGAATTTTATTTGAATCGAATTCAAATAATTTATAAATATTAATATATCATTTACATCATAATATAAATGAATAGTAATTGTTAAAAAAGGAAAAGAAAGATGTTTTATTTGCAGACATTTTTGAGTCGGGAGGGCCCTCTGGGAACAGTGTGGTGCGCCGCCCATCTCCAGCAGCGCCTTAAGAAGTCTCATTACACAGCCACCGTTATTCCCTCCATCGTTGGCCCGTCTTCCTCTCTCTTTTCCTTTTAGCTATAAATTCGCCTTTTGTTTCAACATTTCCACTGCTTACTATCACGTCAGGGCTTGGCCCCATTCTTTTTTTCTTCGATTCCTTTTTCTTCTCCTGTTTTTCAGATAAACAACGGGGTCTTTTTTTTCCCAATAATCATCATAAGCGCTTAAAAATCATTGGTTCAATGAACATCCGATTGGATCCCTTCAGTCGTTGATTTCCGTTTTTCTTTTTAAACCTATAATGTGTTGATTGTACAGTTTGCTTAACAAATTTGCACAGTTCAATCATTAATAAATACTTATAAACTTTGCTTGGAACTGAACTGATTAAAAAAATTACTGTAGCATCTATTTTTTTAATCTTTATACGTGTCAAGTTGCATATGATAAAGCATTTTTTTTATTTCATTTTTTTTTTGTTTGGATTGCGGATCGCGTCATGTGCCCCAAAGTTCCTATGGCACTAAGAATGTCACGCCACCTTCTTTTGGGCGTCGTTCGTGTATACTCTAAGAAAGTTGATTATCTTTTTCATGACTGCAATATCATCCTGATTGGGTTAAGAAAAGTCTTTGCTTCCATGCAAGTTAATTTGCCCGAGGACGCAAGACAGGCTCCCCGTCAGGCTATCATTCTACCTGAGCCATTGGATCTAAATGCCATGAAATTGGATGGTGATATGTGTACTGAAGGGTAAGCCCTTTTAGACTTAATTCACTATTTTTTACAGTTTTTGAGCGCCTCTAGATATTAATTGATAGGATGCTATTTGAACTTCCGTTTACCGAGTTTCTGAGTCCCGAAGATATAACGCATACAGAAAGAATGATAGTGCTTTAGGTAAGATCAAATTTGATTTGATTTGATTTTTTGAATATTATATAATATTATAAATTTTTAAAATTTAATCTGAATTCGAATCAAATTAAATTAAATTTTACAAATTTGATTTATTAATTTTTTAAATTTTAAATTTTTTATTTTAATATATTATTTTAATATAAATTTTAATATATTTAAATAAATTTTGATATAAAATTATTATTTTTATTTTATAAAAATTTAAAAAATATATAAATTAAAAATATATATAATTTAATTCAATTTAGTTTTTTTTTTATTTTTATCATTCAATTCAAAATGTGATTCAAATTAAATATATACATTTAAATTCATACTTGATTCAAATGAACTAAATATTATTACTTCGAATCGATTTTAGATTTTTTTAATTTTATTTCTTAACCCTAGCTAATAGGTACTATATAAAATTGAACCGCTATTTCTATCCTTTAATAACAATGATGTAACGTGTGTTTTACTTTTTCAATAACTCAAATTCCCTGAGGGATCCTTTTGTTGCTATAACTTTTGATGAGAAAAGACATTTTTTCACTTGGCAAATTGAAGTGTAGCATTGATTTATCATTTTTTTTCAAGGCATTGGAATTACATTTTCACCATCAACGCATATATTGTTGGTAATTAGAATATGATGTATTTTACATTAGAAAAAAATTAATTATTAATAAATAAAATTAATTTTATATTAATTTTATTTATATTTTAAATAATTATATTTGAATAAAAATAATCATCATATGATAAATAGCTATAACTATTTGAATATAAATAAATTATTATTCATAAAATTTATAATTATACGAAAAGTCACAACCATCTGAATAGAAGTTTATGTCTATTCATTCATTATAATAAATCTTTTAGTATAACCATTTTCACTATTTTTGATTGGAGAGTTTAAGGCTTTATTACATCCTAAACGTATAATTACCTTTAAGAAAATGTTCTTCATATCTCAAAACCAAAATTCTTTTCTATTATTCATCTTCTCTTATTTATTTTTTCTAACAATTTAAAGGCAATTATGAGAAATTTATATTTCGCACAATAAAAATACAAGAAAAAGAAATTGACATGATTTGAAGATCAATATTAGATGAGGCTTAAGGTATCAAAGGATTATTGTTTTTATGGATCAAAATATTAATTTTTATAAAGATCTTCATTAGAGATATGTGTTTTATTTTTTGCATAATTACTGGTAAAAAGATTGATTAAATGAGATAAATATGTTGACAATTTATTTTATTAGTGTGTAAAGTCAAAACACAATATACAAAATATTGATTATATTGCATAAGTTTATTCATATATTGAAATTGACTCCATAATTGGGTTTAATGAATTGTATTATATTTATTTGAAAAATCGATACTTATAAAGACTGAGATAGAAATAGCCTAAAAACAAAAAAGAAAAAGATATGAATTGATCTACAACAAGAATAATTATCACTTATTATCAAGTTACAAATTAAATTGGATTTTAATGAAATGGCCGATTGTTTAATTGTCATATTTTTGTTATATATAGAACAGACAAATTATCCCATGGTTTTTATGAAAAACTATTGGAAATGGTAAAAGAATTTACCATGAAAAATTAGATGTAAGTGGAGAATATATGTAGAAAATAAGATTTGACAGCAAGATTAGTTTTATTTTTAAATCATGACACCAAAATTAAGATAATAAATTAAGTCAAGTTATTTGTATAGTTTTATCTTTGTTAATCGTTTATAAATTAAATGTTGATATATATACTTTTTATATTTATTATTGGTTCTAATTGTTACTAGTGTTCAATTTTCATGAAAATCAATTAAAATTAAATTGATGTATGTGAATAATTATTATTAAGATATGGTGTTTCATGAATTAATTGGTGGATAATAAATCAAATTATTATTATTATTAGAAACATCGACAATGTGACATGTATTTTGCTTACTAATGTATTACATTAGAAGTAATTTTATAAAATAAAATTTTATTATGAACAATCACAAAGAAAAAGTTTAAGGTACAATTCAATTTGTGTTTGATGGCCAAAACAAGTAAGACAAATAAACTCAAGAATTTAGAATATAAATGTTCCTGTTATATTACTATGATTGATGAAACTGGCTTACAAAAAGTAGGAGATTAAAGAGATACTTGCTTAAAAAGAAATTATCAAACTATTATAACTATGAGGTTTATATAGGTCTAGGTTTTGAAATATTATTCTCATTAATGATAGCATTTATAAATTGTTTGAATTTATAAGATAATAAGTTAATGCAAGTTTATTATATATAATGATATATAATTTCATGAAGAACTGTGGTTGGTGGTAATGTAAAATACATTAAATATGTATGTCTATGACATCTCTATATTTTGTAAATTGTATATTAGTATCATTAACTAAAATTTGGCCAATAATTTGGGCTAATTAGATGATTGATTAAAAGAAAAGGCATGCCATTAAAAATTATTAAAGCATTTGTAGGTTACTAGCATTTTGAAGGATGCTCATTGATGTTTAAATTAGTCATGTTTATAAATTAAAAAAGAACATACAAATTCAATATTCCAAAGGCACCAATACATACATGTTTTTAATTCCATTTTATGATGGCATGGTGAACATTGATACAATTTGCTATATATTATGAAAATGAAATGAATATGATAAAATTTTCTTTCTTATATGTTAAGAAAAATATGGACTATGAAACAGAATGCCATCATCAAATTAATATATTATTGGTTAATGACAATAAAGACAATTTTGCTTCTTGTACCCAGAAAAATGACTTTTTGTAGGTTGTTAAAATGAAAAGTGAACAAGTTTTCAAAGTTTTCAATAGTTTCATGACAATAGCAAGAATATGACTGGTTATACACCAAATTAACATATGGGCTTAGATAATGATATTCGTTTGTGAAAGCCCTAAGCCTTGAAGTTAGCCAGTCAATGATTTACCAATGCAAATTCATCATGAGGTTTTGCAAGAAATAATAGTAGAACTCATATTATAATTATTGTTTATACTATTTTATGAAAATGATTTTTTGGATTCATGTTTCATGACTTACGTTGATATGATGATCTAGATATGAACATATTGATTATAACATGATTGTGAAAGTATTTGAATTGAAGTTAAATATACTATGGACTCTTATTGTATATAGGCATATTGGTTATATGAGTAAAGTTTGAATTTATTATATATACAAAAATGTTATGACTAATTAAAAGTGGTAAATAACAGAGATATATAGGTTGTACAGTGGTGGAAAAATAAAGTTCTCATTTTGAGATCAAGTTTAGAGGTCTCAATAATCATGAACTTGAATTGGCCATTGAGCAATTACTATATGCATTAAAAACTCATGATAACATTTGAGATAGTTGATTTTCATTAAAAGCTATTACTATAAATGAGATAACTTAAATAGTCAAATCTACATAATTTGTAGATATGATGTGGATTATTATGGTTGGCTTAGAATGGCCATAAGCCAAAATTGATGCTACAATCTCAATCAAGTTGTGGTAATTTTTTGTTATGTATATGATCTAATTTATAGATTGTACAAATGATTTATTATCTATGATTTTATATAGTGAAAATTTCAAAGTATATTTACTTTGAAAGCCATTAGTGATTCAAAGATCTTATGAATTTGAAAACTTTTATAATAGCGAAAAGAATGTTATTTAATCCATTTGGGTGATGAAAATGGTTTTATTCATGGTAATAAAAAAATTATTAATAATGCACATGATGAAATAAATTCATATAAATATTTATGAATTCACATAAAAATCTTAAAAGGAGACTATAAAAGCATGATTATATTTGTAATAAGCTTATTGATGTAAACTCTTATACTGAGTTAAAATATAAAAATTTTGAAACTTTTATTAAAATATTAAGATATCAACTAGCTATCTTTCACTAAGGGTGGATTTAGAGGCCTCTTACTTAAAAATAAAAAATCACTAAAGAGTGAAAAGGTAAATGAAATTGAAACTTGATTAAGTATAAATGATATCTTGACTACTGAATGAGATATTTTTTAATAAAAGAATGCATACTTGCACATGGTACGGGGTGATAAGAATCAAAAGAAATAAAAATTGCCACCATAGTGTCGTAAGATTTCAATATATTTTTATGAGCAAATTATACAAGCTAACAAGTTTAAACATTTATCAAAGTAAAATCATAAAAAGTCCTTAATTAAAAGGACTAAAATGATTTGGTTTATTCATTGAATTTATCCAATTGTATTAGAAATATAATTGTATTAAAGATATATAAAAGTACGAAATAGAACGGTTGAAATTTATGAGTATAGAATTGTGGTCACAACCAAAACCAATTATTTCTTAAATTGATAAGAATGAGGCAATAATGTCTGGAGTATATAAATGTTATGCAAAATAAAAAATTCAGATATATTAGCATGAAGTGATTATATTATAGGTTAAATGTCAAATGGAGATAATTACCATAAAAGAAAATTGAATTCCAAGATATTTGGTTAGTAGTAATATAAGTAGAATGGATTTAAACCTTTGCTTTTAGACACCAATAATGGAAACCCAACTTTGAATTAGTAACCTCTAATTACAAAGTTTAATGGGTAAAAACAAGTTATTGTTATGTGTCTATCAAACATTAGTAAAATCTATTCAAATTTTAGAAACTAGTATGATCCACTGTATGGGAAGGATGAGTTTTTATACTCTTAATGGAGTTTTAAATGTCTAAAGCAATTGAGACATAATGAAAACTCTACATATATAAACATAAAAGGGGTGCCGCTTCAACAAGAAGAATTGGAGTCTCTCTTGTAAATGTTTATTAATAAGATAAGCTCATAGTCATAATAATACTAAAAGCAATTATAAACCTCTGACAGAATAATAAATAAGTATTATGTGTGTTATATTTTTAATTATAACACTCAGAGTTGAAGTTTAATCTGTAGACATTATCAATTTTGTTACAATTCTAAGATATATATGCTAATTAAAAGTTTAAATTGAGAGATACCTTTTTATATTTATAATATTTATTTGTGTGAAAGTTAAAAATTAAGTACCAATATTCCAAACTAGTGAGAGATTATTGGTAGTTTAGAATGTGATGTATCTCATATTAGATAGAAAGATTTAATTATTGATGAATAAAATTAATTTTTGTATTAATTTTATTCATATCTTAAATAATTATAATTAAACAAAAACAATTATCATATGACAAATGGTTATAACTATTTGAATATAAATAGATTATTATTCATAAAAGTCATGATTATACAGAAGGTCATAACCATTTGAATAGAAGTATATGTCTTTTTATTCATTATAAATAAATATTTTAGTATAATCATTTTTACTACTTCTGATTGGAGAGTTTGATGCTTTGTTATATCTTAAATGCATAATTATCTTTAAGAAAATATTTTTCATGCCTCAAAGCCTAATTTTTTTTTATTATTCTTCTTTTCTTATTTATTTTTTCTAACATATATTATGCAGGATATCACGGTGAATGCATCACCTCCAGAGGCACTTACCAAGTTTGGGTCCAACACACACATGAACAAGAATGCCCCTAATTTCATCTTCAACAATTATATTTTCAAAGACCAATGGATGTTTTCCTTTTTTTTTTTTTCACATTTATGATACATTTTCCCTTTTATAATTATAGCAACCTTCATGAACCTCCAGAGAATGGTCATGTGGGTTTCCAAGATCCTGCTCCACACAATCGGATAAAAGTGCCCAGTGTAAGTGCTGCTTTTCAGGATCCAGGTCCTAGTAAACAAACGGGTTTATGGAATACTTGTGATGATATAATTACCCATGGTAAATTGTTTTTCCCATATCTACTTCCTTTCCTCGAGCTTCTGACCGAGGAATTGTGTTGTAGGATCTTTATTTTTTGGAAGAAGATAGTAGTAATACACCAACAGGTAACTTCAGTAATCTTTTGGTTTCTATGTACGTGGTGTCTATCGTGCTCATACTTTCATATCATATAAGAATGTTACAAACGTCCTAGTTTAGAAATTTTCTTATTACATTCTGCTGCAGAATCCCTAGCAGGCCAAGGGGTGGATTCCTTATCTGTGACTGTGAGAACAAGGTACCAACTTTTCTTTATTAATAAAAGAATCTTTACCTTCTGCTTACTGTTCACTGGATCCTTTTTTTTTTGGTGTTATATTGCTGCTATGCAGGGCAGTGGCTAAATACTTGAAAGGCATTCACCTATAACCCCACTCTTAGAAGATGCTCATGAAGATCATAGTTTGAGCAAGATTTTAGAAGGAAAAACAAGAAAAATTTGTGCTCGAATGTTCTTTGAAACCTTGGTAAGTTACTAAGGCATTTCAATATAGCTGAAAGCTAAATTCCCTTCTTCGTTTTTATTCCCGTTTTCACAGAATTCAATTCCAAATACTCAAGTTTTTGGTTGCCCCCTTTTGGAAATTTTTTTCATTTACATTCTCATCATACGCATACTAGGACTTCTGCATCATATTAAGAATTCCAATGTAATCTGTTTGGATAAATGCTGGCAAATCAAATTTTCGTTTACTGTTTTGCTAGGTAAAGTTCACTTCTTATCTTTGTTTTCACTTTGTTTTATTCTGTACCTTGAACTGTCAGCTGTCCATTGTATAGGTGATTGATGCTTTACATGTTTGAGAGTTTAGTAAATATGTGATAATGGGAAAGAATGAGGAGTTAGAAGAACTTGTCTGTAAGTGTTTTAATGTAATTCATCTCTTGTTTTTTTAACACCGATTATGGCTCATTAGCTTTGATTGTACTGAAGTATAAGTTTTGGCCTTGTACGTGTTTACTTTTGAAATAAGATTTAGTATTTTAGTTTAATATTTCCATAATCATAGTAAAAATTGCTTGTCGTATTCACATAAACCAGAAGAGAATTCATTTGAGAGTCAAACCTAAGTTACATTCAAGGCCAAACACAGGTTTTGAAGAGTTATGAACTGATTGACGTACGACAAGAACAACCTTATGGTGATATCTCTCTAAAGTTGCCTCCTACACTAGCAAAGGCTGAAATGTGAGTTATATTGGTCAATGCAGTGTGCTTGTAATGGCAAACTTTATACTTTAATATTTGTTAGTAGTATTCTACATGTTATAGCTAATTGACCAACTTTTATCAGAGCAAATTTGGCTAACACGCTTAGAAAATGCGGATGTTTCGCGGATAGAGATAGGGGGTAACTGACCTGAAAGCGAGAGGTAGAGTAAGAGAGCTGTATGGTTTAAAGTTGCCACTTCAGTCTCTTCACCGAAGACAACATCCGAGTCAGCAGCAAAAGAGGAAGAGTCCTCTATTGGCGAACCCTCCTCTCTTATACCCCTTCTACAAGGCTACCGACCACTTTCCTTTAGCCTTGCTGGCCGAGGGGATACAAGCTTGCTTTGGGCCGTAATTTGCCTCACCTTTGTATTTGACCCATCTGTCTTTGTCTGACCGACCGATTCTCTTTGGTTGGAAACCACTTTGAATATTCATGCCGGGAAGTTGACAACCGTTGAGCGAGCTCAGTCAGAGGCGAAAGCGAATGCAGGAGTCCGAGTCGGCAATATTTTTCTTATAATTACTATGTAATATTAGGTGAAAGAAACTGTACTGAAACGTAAAACCTTATTTTTACTCCTTGTAAATTTTTTGAAATGTTTGGTGAAATAATCTTAAGCCAAAAATTATATTTTGGCTTTGATTCATTTCTTTTATTAATCTATTCAAATTGAAAATATTAAAAAGTTTTTTCTTTTCTGTCCTACATAAAAAAATATATATATTCACACTCCATTATTTGCAAAATAACTGTAAATGTTATGAGCTTATAATCATACATATGGTGACTTTTTTGGGTGCCAATTTAATAGTCTAAAATTACGACTTCATATATTGAAATTATTATATGATTTATAATATCTTTTGAGAATTGTAATTAGGTATTTTTTGAGAATTTAGATTTTGGATTGGGTATTGTACTGTAAGAGATTTTTTATGTTTTAATTTTTTTTCTTTTTTTATATATAGTAAATTATAATTTTTAATAATATATTATTATATTTAGCGTTATGTTTATTTATTCACTTTAAAAATTTCGATTGATTTCCTTTAGAAGTTTGATTTTCTAAATCTGGAATTGAATTAGTTCTTATATATATATATATATATATATATATATATTGTTGGGTTTCTTTTTGAGTTTTTCTGCATTCTATATAAAAATTGTGCAAATGCAACAATCAGTTGCCACGATTTTTTTTTTTTTTGGATTTTGTTTCCTTTCTTTAACTTTTTTTCTTTTTAATATTTAATAAATATTTTTAAATTAAAAATATTTAATTTTAAAAATTTTATTTTTGTGTGGAATCCACTTACATCAATTTTTCTATTTTTTAAAAAATATTAAATAAATATATATTTTTTAGATTTCACTTTTTATATGATATCAATAATATGTCACGTTTTTTTTTAATATATTAAATAAATAATTTTTAAGGTTTTAATTTTTTAAGACACATCCTAAACAAAAATTAAAAAAAAAATTCTATACATAAATTGACTGAAAAATCTTTTATGTAAATTCTGCATGTGTACGATTACGTCACAGTTACCCTTAATATACACTAAAAAAAATCTTTTATATTATTCGTAAAATAAATCCATAATTTTTTAAAAAATTTTTATGGGATCCAATATTTTTATTATTTTTTATGTAATTCAATTTTTAGCTTATTTTTATTTTTATTTTTATTTTTTTGCTTGAGGCGCCACATGTCCTTTTTTTGTTATCTACTTACTTTTTTATATATTTAATAAATATTTTTGGGTCCATTTAATATTAATTTTTTTTAATTTAATATATGTATATCTATTGTGTGTTAGATCTACTTGATATCAATGATATACCACATGTTTTTTTTTATTTTTTTCTTTATATATTTATAAATAATTTTTAAAATTTTATTTTTTATAAAACTCAATTAATATGAAGAATATGTTAAGTATCATACCATTTGATTCTTTTTTCTCTTTTCTCTTTTTATTTTTTTATCTTTTTCTTCTATTTACAATTATTTTCCATTTTTTAATTTAAAATTTTTTTATAACTATTTTAAATTATTTAAATGTTGGGCCCATTTGATATTATTATTAAAAATGTATTTTTTTTATTTTTTATTTTATTTTTTTAATAATAGATATTAACAAAAATGTTAACTGTCACATGTGGATTTTTTTTTCTTTTTTACCTTATTTTTTGGGTTTTTTTTGTAAAGTTCATGATAAAAAATTTTCATAAAAAACTTATCATTACTGATGTTAGTGTCAACTCAACTTTCTTTTAATTTTAATTTTTTTTGCTTTTCATCATTTCTTTTTTCTTTTTCTTTTTTTTTGGTCTTTCTCTTCCTTTATTTTTTATTTTTGATTAAAAATATCCTTTTGTATTTTATAATTAGATAATTTTGTTAAAAAATATTAACGGAGATGTCAACATGACATTTAAATTTGACTTTTTTTTTGTTTTATAGTACGAGGAAAAAGATATTTTAAATCAATAACATCAAATTGACTTTACAAAAAAATATAAACAAAAATATTAAATATAAAAAGGGAAATTAAGTAAATTAAAATAAAATATAAATTTATGAAATAAATTTTGCAAGAAAAGCTTATTATTGCTAATGTCTTGTGGCAACTTGATTTTGTTCTCTTTTTATTTTTTTTTGTTTTTTGTCAGTTTTTACTTTGTTTATTCATTTAATTCTTTTATCTTTTTAATTAAATAAATTAAAAAAATAACATATGTGTACATGTGGTACCCTAATTCGTTATTTTTATCTTTTTTATATTTTTAATTAGATAATTGATAACAAATATAATCAAAAAATTAATTGTTTAAGAAAAATATTAATTGAGGTATGACTAATAAAATAAACTGCATCTAATGATTTTTAATTAATCCAAATCTAATAAATAAAAATATATATATATTTATTTAAGATTGAATCGAAATTTTTCATCAAAAATCAATGTCTAGTCAAATGAGGTTTATGATATTCCATCTTACTTTGATTATATATATTAAATTATATTTTAATTTGTATGTATTTATTATATTAATAAAATTATTATTTAATATCTTAATTTAATAAAAATATTATATTTATACATAATTAAAAATCCATCTATTTATCTATTATATAAATTTGACTAATTTTAACTTTTGTTTAATTATCATTCGGGTCTGAACATGCCATCTTACGTTTCTTTTTCTTTTTTTTTTTCGCTTTTTCTTTAAATTATTTTATATTTTTTATTTAGATAAATTTTGTAAAACAAAAAAAATGTAAGTGCTCATGCAACACCTCAATTGACTTTTTTCTTTTTTATTTTTTTAATTAGAAATAGCAAAACAAATTGTGTCTCATGGGTCATTACTCAATTATGATGTTCACGTAATATCACAATAAATTTTATTTTTATTTTTTTCTTTTTTAGATATTTTTTCTTTATTTTTTTTTATCTTTTTAATAAAAGTAATTTTGTAAAAAAAAAAAACTTTGAATGTGTCTATATGGCATCTTATTTTATTTTTTTATCTTTTATTTATTTTTATTTTTTAATTAGATAAATTTTACAACACAATGATGTCAATTGATATAAATACTAAATTAATCCGTATTTGGTGACTTTTGATAATATTTTAATCCAATAAAATATGATTTGTTAAAATCAAAATTGAATTACAATGGATCAATTTAAAAAAAAAAAAAAGGTCAGGTCCGAAATGCCTTCATGATATTTTGTCTCTATATGTTTTAGGGTGTATATAAAAATATTTATTTTATTATTTATTTAATTTTAGACATATCTATTATATTAATAAAATAATTTTCTTACCTTAATTTAAAAAATTATATTTTAAACTTAATATGTGATGTTAATGTAGCACCATCTATTAACTCCTTTATTTTTATTTTTATTTTTGTTTTACTCATTTTGAGTTTTTTTCCACTTTTTTTTGTTTACTATTTTTCCATTTTTCTTTTTTTAATATTTATTTTTATAGATTAATTTTATGAGACAAGATTACCAATTAAGATATTCACATTTTATTCCTATTTGTTTTTCTTTTTCTTTCATCTTCGTTCTTATTTGGTCAATTTTATAAAAAAAAATTAGTGAATAGATATGGCAAAACAAACAAATTTTATTTGTAGTTAGACCAAAATAAATTAAAACACGAAAATAATTCAAAAAATGATAATTACATGGATTAAAATTTTAATAAAAAATATATGAGTTTAATAGACACAAAAAGTATATTTGATTTTTTTATGTCTATAAAAATTGTGATATATAATTTTTGTATAACATATAATATAAATATATAAATTTTTAATATTTTATATGATACAAATATATAATTTATCAAATTTACCTGTGACATCACACAAACATTTTCTTATTAAAAATAATTATAATTATTTGTAGTTAATATAATAATTCTCATTTATTGATATGTACCTTTATGTTCTCATTATATTTTTTTAAAAAATTGGGATTAATTCGGTTTAATAGATTTGAGGTTTTTATATTAGATGTAGAAAAAGTTTGGAACTCGACTTCGGTTGGATTACTTTTTGAAATTTATGTTGATGATTAAAAATATATAAAAGTATATTAAACCGATCATCATTTAACATATTAACTATACTTTTAGCTAAACAAAATTACTTTTCTTTTCCACAACTACAATATTTATTGATAGTCACATAAATTCATATAAACTATTCCTACGCGAAAAGTTTCTTTAGAAGACTAGTTTTTAGGCGCCGGCGTTTGGCATGATTCTATATGCTTACAAAATTAATATTAAAAGAATATTTCAATAACTTAATTTGACTGGATAAAAACTTATTTAACATTATTTTAATTTTTAAAAATAAACATATCATATTTTAGATTAATAGATTTATTAAAGTTAAAAAGATTATTTGTTAGCATTATTCAATTGATTTGCTAAAAAAAAGG